CCTCCCCGTCATCGTCATCAGCGCAGCCGAGAAGAAGACCGCGCCCGACCCGCAGCTCCTCCAGCGCTGCCAGTGCCTCATCGGCAGCCTCATGTTCGCCACCAACGCGCGCCCCGACATCCAGTACACCGTCTCGCAGCTGGCGCGCTGCATGGCTTGGCCCGACGCGAACATCGAGGCCGCCGCCGAGCGCTGCCTCATCTACCTCATCGGCACGCAGGACCTCGGCCTCCACTACGAGCGCGTCGCCGACCCCAAGCTCTTCGGCTGCTCCGACGCGAACTGGTGCACCCGCCAGAGCACCTCCGGCTGCGCCTTCAAGATCGGCACCGCGATCATCTCGTACTTCTCCAAGAAGCAGGGTCACATCTCCCTCTCGACATTCGAGGCCGAGATCTCTGCCGGCACGCTGGCGGCTTGCGAGGCGGTCCACCTGCGCTCGCTCCTCGCGTCGCTCGGCTACAAGCCCAAGGGCCCGACCATCATCAAGATCGACAACACGGCCGCGCTGCGCGTCGCCGAGGACCCGGTCATGCACGACAAGACGAAGCACATCCTGCGCAAGGAGCTCAAGATTCGCGAGCTCGTCGAGTCCGGGGAGGTCAAGGTCGAGTACGTCGAGAGCCTCAAGAACTTCGCCGACTTCTTCACCAAGCCGCTCCCGCGCAAGGAGTTCGTGTGAAGGTCTTCAGTGACCACTCACAAGCTGTTCCAAGGCCCGACAGAAATGTACTGTCAAAACTTTGTTCAAACAAAAGTCCTGGCCCGCGGCCCCCACACCCACAATGACTATCAATCCAGGCTGCGGGTGAAGGGCAAAACCGCGCCGCTGCAGAACGGTTTTTGCAAAACCGCGCCGCAGCGGTACGAAACTGCGCAGATGCAGTCCAGGGGTGGTAAGGACACTATGTGTGTGTGTGTGGCCGTCGACTAGACGGCTGCGCGGTCGTCGGTCTTCAACAGGCGGGGCAACGATCCCCGGGACATTACGACAACATGTCGTCGACGGACAAGCTGGTGATTCCGGCCTACAAACAGAGCTCCGAGCGGGAGTTCAACGAGTGGTTCCGCAACCTGCGGACCGCGGCGAAGCAACACAAGTACCTCCTCGACATCATCGAGGTGGGCACCATCCGGCCGGGCGCGGAGCGCGAGGCCGAGGGGGCCGTCAATTTCCATCGAGTCGACTGCGGCGTTGAAATGATCGAGAAGTGGGCCTGTGACCTCTCCCTCTGTGAGCCACCGGTCATCCCCCGGGCCAGCGTTCTCAAAGCGCACCTTGTATTCAAAGTTCCCTAACATTTGCTGACTTGGTCGTCGCGCAATAATACGCTCGATGGTCCACTCTCTATTTTCGTCCTCGTCGATCTCCCCTCCCTCCCGGGCCGTATGCTTGAGTAGGTCATAGAAGCGTGTGGTAGTGTCTTCATTGCTTGCCGGGCGGGATGCATCGAGCGTGCGCATCGGCCGGTATATCCTCGAGAGGCGAAGTGAGGCGAGGTGTTTGACTGCGAGTTTGTGAATCGGGATCGCTGCTCTCGAGCGGGTGGTCTTGCCGTATTGCACCGCATACCTAGCCGGGTTTGCAGCCACTTCCCAGCCGTCCCTGGCTGTGGCGTCGCGTCGGAGGAGATTTGCGCACACGACCGATCCGCCGCACACCAATCGTTTTAGTTTGCGCGGCGCCCCCTTCTCCGCTCGGGCTCGGGCCGAGTCCACCCCCCACTCCTCCTTACGAACACTTGCCGCCGATTGCCCGCCGTCCTCCCATACCTCGACCTCCGACCATCCGCCGTCTCCCCGTCCCCGCACTTCCTCCACATTCGGGGTTCCCTGTTCATCCTGTGCGACCTGTCTGAGTACGCCGCTTTCCATCCACTCGTAGAGTGGCGACTCGCCCTCCACGCGTGTAACCCACCGCTTATTAAGTGTCGGGTCGTCCACCAGCATCCATGCATGTTGAGGTAGAGTGGTGGATCGAATGCATTCTCCCAAGTCGATTGGTTGTTGTCGCCCGTGAACGGCGTCTCGGAGGGTTGCTCGCCACGCTTCGGGCAGGCTATCGAGGAGCGCGTTCTACTCCGGTCGATCGCAGGGCGCTGTCGAGGGTCGGCAGGAGCGTCTGAAGGCCGACCAGTCCATAGGCAGGCCGTCACTGCCGAGTATGTGAGCGACATGTGTCACCCCCACGTTTGCGAAACGCTTGGATCGATTGTACACCTCTCGTGCGTCTCCCTCTCTCTCGTTGCTCCATCGGCATAGCTTAGGTTTGGCCCGTCTCTCCCTATCCTGCCTTTCCCATCCTGGCTCGTCGATCGCCGCCGCTCCCCACCATCCTGCCAGGTGTGGGTTGTAGAAGAGCGGCTCCATTAGTACGCGGCCGATCGACCACCGCCCTCCGACGCGCACCGTTCGCTTTATGCCGCGTCTCGCTTCATTGTACGTCACCTCGGGGGTGTGCTCCTTCTGCGCGGCTTCGTCCCCATCGTGTGGCACTATTCCCGTGATCGTTCCAAAGGTGGTTAGCGCAATCCTCCAGTAGTCTGGAGTGTCGGTAGGGAGGTGCAAGAAATCACACAGTGAGTGGAGTATACGCCTCCCCATGCGGAGGTGGCCGTAGCCCTCGTGGATGTATGTCATTACGAGATTGACGCCCTTGTGTGTTGATGGCGCGATCAGTCGGCCCACCTGCCTTTGGTATAAGCTGCGGGTGAAGACCTCCACATCCTGGCAGCAAAAGTGCAAACTTTTCTGGGCACTTTCACCGCCGCCGCTTCGCCGTGCACGCACCGATTTTGAACGTGTGTATGCTGCTCCCGTCCCCGGCTTGCGTCGCCCTCACGCTGGGCTGCGCGCTGCCGCCGCCTCCGCGCGGCGGGGTCGCGGCCGCCGTCGCGGACAGCAAGGCCGCCTCTCTCTCCGACCGGAAGGCCGCGCTCGTCGCCGGCCTGAAGCGCGAGTACTCGTCGTTCTTCAACCCGATGGAGATGGAGCTCTACGACCCGCAGGTGACGTTCGACGACCCAATGATCTCCTTCACCGGCGCGGACAAGTTCAAGGCCAACGTCGACATGCTCTCCGGCGGCTCGGCCGTCGGGAAGCTGCTCTTCTCCGACTGCGGCCTGGTGATGCACAGCTGCACCGAGGACGGGGAGCGCGCGCTCACGACGCGGTGGACGCTGCAGTTTCGGTTCAAGCTGCTGCCCTGGAAGCCGCTCGCTCAGTTCACCGGCGTGTCTCAGTACACGCTCGACGGCGAGGCGACCGCCTCTGCCGCCTGCCTCTCTCTGCCGCCCCTCTCTCCCTCCCTCTCTCCTCGCTGCTGCCCGCCACTCCGCCACCCGCCCGACGCCGCCGCCTCCCTCGCCGCCGCGTCAGTCGCGCGTCTCCGCGCAGCAAGACTTTTGGGACAGCGTCAACCTGCAGCCGGGCGGTGGCTATGCGCCCAAGAGCAAGCTGGCGGGCTTCGGAGACCTGCTGAGCCAGCTGGCGCGCGCCCGCCCTCGCCTCCTCCGCCCTCTCCCCCCCCCCCAGCCCCTACCCTTCGCCCCACCGCATCCGCTCTCTGCTCTCTCGCAGGCGCCCGGCGGCGCCAACGCGCAGCAGGCGAGCGAGCGAGCGCTGCCCCACCGCCCTCGAGAGGACGCTTCTCCGGAGCCTTCTCGGACCCCTTCCGCAGGCGAGCGAGCGAGAGCTGCCGTTCGCGCTGCTCCGCCGGGCGGGCGACTACGAGGTGCGGCGGTACCCGCTCTTCGACTGCGCGAAGGTCGAGTACGAGCGGCGGGTGGACGGGCTGGGCGTGCTCGGCGCGTACACCAACGGCGCCAACGAGGCGGGCGCCGAGCTGAAGCCGCTCGTGCCGTCGCTGATGAGCATCCCGACGGGCGAATGGGACGAGTTTCGCGAGTCGACGACGCTCTCCGCCGCAAAGGCGACGCGCCCGGCCCGACGGGCGCCGTGCGCTCGGCGCGTCCCGGCTCACCCCTGTCTGGGGCCTCGTCAGGTGATGCGCTGGCCGATGGGTGTGCCCGTGCTGGGAGACGCGGCGCCGCCCGCGCCCGAGTCGCGGATACAGGGGGAGGCGTCGCTCGAGTCGGTCCCCTCGTGCGTGGTCGGCGTGCGCTCCTTCTCCGACCCGACCACCGAGCCGATCGTGCGCGAGCAGGTGCGGCCGCCGCGCCGCGCCGCAACCCCGCGCGCGAACCCTCTCGGAGCTTTCCCGCAGGTGCGGCTGCTGCGGCAGGCGCTGCGCCGCGACGGGCTCGCGCCGGGCGGCAGCGAAGCGGAGGAGTTCCGGCTGGCGCAGTTTGACGCGCTCAACAGCCTCAACGCGCGGCGGAGCGAGGTGTGGGTGGCGCTCGACGAGCACCCGTGGTGAAAGCGAGGGCCGGGTTGTTATTCTGAGGCCCTCTCTGTGTTGGTTGAGCATGCGGGCGTGCGAATTTTTATTGTACTTTGTAGAGCACGCCAGTTGGCGCGTAGTAGAGACGCACGACCCACAGCCACACCGGAATCGACCCTATCCAGCGCTCAAGTGCTCAAGACGAGTCGCCGCTGTTGATGCTGAAACGACAAACCCGGGCCGCTTTGTTGAAGTTGAAGACGAAACCCGCGACAATGAAGCCCGGCCCGACGTCGGCGTCTCCGGAGTCGCCGTGTCCGCCGCCGCGGACCGGCGACTTCTTCATCCAGAGCGCGGACTTCTTTCGAATGCTCGAACTGTACCCGTACCAGACCCGCGAGTCGCTCATGGCCTCCCAGATGAGCACGCCCATCTCTGTTGCGCCGGTGCCGTTGCCAGCAGATGGCAGCTCCGCCAATCCTGTCCCCAGGAGAGGCGGCAGCACTCGCCAGATGTCGCAGCTTTGCCTCGCAGTACCCCCGCCCTTCATGGGCACTGCGGGCCGACTTGCCAGCTTGGCAAGGTTAGTAGGGGCTTGACGTACAGGTGTCGGTGGGTTTGACGGCCGCGCGTGCTGGCAGCGTAGGGGAAGTACTGGCGCTGCGCGCAACAATGTGCGTTTCTGATGAGTACTGTACGTGGATCGTGTCGTCCCTGCGGAGCGATACGAGGATATGGCGCGGGTGTGAGAGAGCATGGGCCTGAAACGGCTCGCGCATCGCGCTTCGCTAGGGGCAAACACTGAAAACGTAACTTGATCGGGGCGCGGTTTTTTTTGGACTAGACTGCTCGGGGGAGGTGGGCGAGTGATTGGGTAGCTTTGGGGCCACCGAAAATAATGAGAACCGCCCCCTATATCTCGCCAAATCTCGATTTTTCGCGGGAATGGGCGCTTCTCAGCCCCGCGCGAGCTACAGTGACTCCCCAGGGCTTGTCCCGTGGCCCAAAGTGGTACCCCGAGCTCCGCCACGAGCGTGGGCAATCAGGAGACACCCACAGTCACGGCGGGCGAGGAGTTGGGTGACGGCCAACTGTCGATTACGGCGCCTCTGGAGCCTCCTGTATCGTCGGTTCGGCTCGAAGATCGTGCCGCATCCGCATGTAAACCACCTCCGCGCCCCCGCTGGCACATGTCCGCATTGCCCGAGCCTGGGAGAAGTTCCCAGTGCCCGGAGGCTGCACAGGTCCGCGAAACGCTGGCGCTGCAGCTCCCGGCGCGCACCCCAGATTCGCGAGGAAAACAGCCGAAAACGGGTCGCGCCGCGATCGACCCTCAGCGAGCCCAGGCGAGCCTGGTAATCCCACCCGGTGGTAAGCGCACGTCCTCCGCGTAATCTAGCGCGCTGTGCAGCCCGCCAGTGCATGGCGCCGACCTGGGCCGCGACTGGTCGATCTCGCCGCGATCTCGCCATCCAATTCTCGGTCAGGTGTAGTGGATCACCTTAAAATCCTGGATTAATTCCTGAGCCCACCTGGCCCCACCAGACGGGTAGCACGAGGCGCCCGGGCCACTTTTTAGCGCCTCCCGAGCCTCCCGGCGCCTCCTGTGGCCTCCTGAACCCTCTCCCCCGCAGCCTCTCTCGGCGACGTGGGGAGCGGCTGCCGTCCACGGCTCGCACCGGCTCTTCCAGCGGCTCCACGCTTGCCGCCTGTGACGCCCGCGCCACGCACTGCCACGCGGCCGCTCGAGAGAGCGGTCGACGCCCATACTGCTGGGCGTGGCGCTCTATCGGTCGACGCTTCGGCGTCGCTGCTTGGTTGGGGACCCGTGCCTCGACGCGGCGGCGCGGCCGAGTACGGCTCGGTGGCACAGCGCGTCGCCACGGATAAGATGCGGCCACAAGCGGCTGGGGAAGCTCCAAGAATGTTTCGTTCTACTTGCAGGAGAGGTCCAAGCAATTCTGGTGACTGCATGGCTCTTCGCGTCGAGGGATGCGTCCAAGATCGGATTGGCTTTTTTGAAAGCGCCGTGTCTTGCGGCATATTCCGGGTCATCGATCCACGTGATGTGACAAACTAGCCGCTAGTAATGAATATGGGAATGTCATCTAGTTCAGGCAACCCGAGCGACAACTTCACGCGCTTGGCGTGTGTGTCGTGTGTGCCTGCTGCTCAAGCGGATCATATATCCTATCCCCTCCGTTTTGTGGTAACGCGGATATGAGCATATACACAACACACATACCACGGTCCGTCTGCATCCTCGGCCATCTACCGCCGTGCCGCATCACCCTATGTCGCCGCGCGGCGGCCGCCGACGCGTCGGCGCTCGCCTGCAGCTCGGTGTACGAAGGCGCCGCCTCGGGCTCCTCCCGCGTGCGGTGCAGCGCCGAGAGCACCTTCAGGAGCGAGGCGACGGGCACCGCCGCGGCGATGTGCCGGTGTAGCGTGTGGGAGCCGTTGGCCGGGTTGTACGACGGGCCCGAGATGCCCTTGGACTTGGCGAGGCAGTTCTTCAGATAGTTCGAGAGCGCGGTCTGCCCGACGTCGTGGTCGATGACCTCGAGCTGCACCAGCGTGCGCGTGGTGTGGGCGAGCGGCTCCGCCGCCCGAGCGGCGGCTTGACTGAGCAAGGACGGGACGAGGCCCTTGGCGAGAGCCAAGTTACGCCACTGCGGATCGTCGGTCGGAGGCTGCCATCGCTCGCGCAACTGCGCACAACACGCACACACGGCTCAGGCAGCAAGGCCGAGATAGAGCCGAGATATAGCCGAGATACAGCCGAGATATAGCCGAGGTGTAGCAGCCGCGGCGGCGGCTCAGGGGGCGGTGGGAGAGCAGGGCGGGCGCCTGCTCGTAGCGGCTCGACTGCAGCAGCACGACGTTCATCCACTGGTCGACGAGCGTCGGGACGGCGACCCACGAGCCGTCCGCGCCGCGGCCATGTAGCAGCACGAGCAGCGCCCATGCGTGCACCTCCGCCTCGCTGGGCAACGCCTTGCCCGAGGCGCACAAGATCGAGTTCCTGCGGCGCGCGCGCGGCAAGAGCTCGCCAAGGCGGGGCGAGCGCGGCCACGGCGAGGGCGGGCACGCACCGCTTCGATTCGGGCGCCCCGCGCTGCAGCGCCGCGCGCCGCTCAAGCTCGGCCTGCACGTTATGGAGGATCTACTGGAGCTCCTCGGTCGTGACATCTGCGGCACACACGCGCAAACCTGAGACCCCCACGGGCCCGGCGGCGGCGCGGCGAGCGGGGCGCGCGCAGGGGCACACACGGGCGTCGCAAACGCGCGGGCGCAGCGCGCCTGGAGCACCAGGAAGGGTGCCACCGCCGGCGCCGTGCTCCGCGTGATCACCTGCACGCACAGGCATCGCAGATCGTCAATGTCCCGCTGTGTCCCGAGCTTGGGGCTCGCGCTCCGGCGCCACGGGCTCGACGCGAGGACTCTGGAGAGAATGTCAGAGTGAGAGTGGATGAGGTTGGAGTGGAGGCGGCAATCGCCGTGCGGGCGCGCCGGGGGCTGCAGACTCCTCCAAAGCAGCGGGACGGGGCGCGCGCGCGACCGCGGGCCGGATTTTGCGGGGGAACTCGGGGGGAGGGCGCCCCGGACACGCCCTGCACGCGGCGCGGGCTGGCGCTCACCAGGAGCGGCAGCATTTGCGGTTTTCGACTCTGGTTTTTCTTTGGACGCCATCATTCTTTTCCCTTTCGCTGGCCTCACTTGTCGCATTTGCGAGGAAAGCAAGCGCGAGCGCTGCGGCGCCGGAGTCTTTCGGTCACCATTCTGGACCATCTTAATATTTTTCAATGATTTTTGCAGGGTCTGAAAGCTGAGACTCAGCTCTTCACGCTCGGTATGAAAGCAAGGTCCGTCCGGGGGGTCCCATTTTTCAGTATTTCCCCCTAGCTTCGCGGCGAGACCGGCGACAGCCGACAGCGCGAAAACAGCTGAGAGCTGTGTGTGTTTGTTGATTGTTCCAATTCTGTATTGTGAGCGTGCGTACAAACGCACCTTCTAGCACACTAGCGCCGCGCACACCACCACTGACTCAAGGTCACGCTGTGGCCGCTTGCAGCTGCCGCTGCTCCTGCGTGCGGCCGGCCAGCGCGCCCGCGACGAGCGCCTCAGCATATCGCGCGCGCATCCGCATGACGGTGGCGTACACGAGCTTGGTGGCACCGGCGGAGCCGCATTCGATCTTCTGAGATTGGCGCGTATCCAGCTGCAGCCTCACCACGTGCCGCGCCGGCTGCAGCTCCACGCCACGCAATGCTTGCCACGGCGCCTGCCAAGAGAGGTCCAAGGAGCCGCTGCGCACGAGCAGCGCGCGAGCGTCGGTGCATATCAGCGTGCGCGGGCCCAACCCCACGTGCTCGAGGAGCAGCTCGCCGCGGTAGGCGCCGGCCTCCACCCGCTGCAGCAGCTCCTACACGGACGTGTCCTGGACGCGTCACTGACATGGCCAGAAGGGCGCCCCTTCGCCCGCGGGAGCGACTCCTGCCCGCCCCGGACCGATTGGTCGTACGGCTGCAGCGCGGCGTCCGATTCGAGCGCGCGGGGACGGCTTCGCGCGCGGCCGGCCCGAAGGCCGAATGCACTGGGGGCCCCGAGACGGCGGCGGAGGCACTGGTGGAGCACATCATCTCGACCATGTCGAGGACGCCGGACGCCGGCTTGAGCGCCTAGGGTTCGGGCTCGGACTCGGGCTCGGGCCACGCCTAAGCCTAGGGCTAGGGACGCAAGCTTGATCGCCGCGCTCACGACGCCCTGCGCCGCCCCGACGAGCGCCCGCCCCACCGAGCCTCCGTCGCGCAGGTCGCGGACTGGGCTCGCCAGGCCAGAGGCGCCGTCCTCCACTGAGGCTCGCAGATTGCTTGCCCCGTCGCGGAGCCCCTCGGCCAGAGAGGCCGGCCGCTGCGCCGCCCGCCGCGCCGCCCGCCGCCGCACGAAGTCGTCGTCGAGAGTGAGGGCCTGGGTGGGACGCCACAGACGTGTCATGGACGTGTCCGAGGGTGCAGGCCTGTCCTCGTCGAGAGGGCGGGCGCCGCGAGGCCGTGGCCGAGGGTGCCCGAGACCTTTGCCGTCGCTAGCGCCGTGCTAGCGAGCGTGTTGCGGAGGAGGGAGGAGGTGCCCCTCGCGACGGCGAGATGCAGCTCGTTCCCCCGCCGCTCGAGCAGGCAGCGGGCCGGCTCCTGGACGAAGTCGCGCAGCCCCGAGCCGATGCCGGCGAGGACGGCGATGGGCGACCCTGTGGGGCATGCTTCGGACATGTCGTGCGCGTGTCGTGGGTTTGTCTCATGGACGGCGGTTGGCGAGCCGAGAGCGTCGAGATCGCCGGCCACGCGCAGCAGCGCCTGCGACGCCTGAATACTGTAGTGCTTGCCGATGCGGCCGAGCAGGCGGGGCAGCTCGTCGAGGGCGTCGCGCAGCACGAGCGCGGCGAAGGTGAGGCGCGCGAGGTCGACCTATGGACCGGCTTCGAGAAGGATGCGGGGAGGGTTCGAAGCACTGGTGCAGCTCGGAGGCGCGCGAGGCACCTATTATTGGGAG